ACTTAGAGAAGAGCCTCTAATGATAATAAATCCCCCCTCCCCCTTTAAAAAAACCCAATCTTACTTCAACCCCCCTCCAAAACACCCAACAAAATAAAACAACACCCCCCCCTAAACCCCCCCCCCAACCGAAACCAAAACCAAAACCAAAAAAAAAAAAAAAAAAAAAAAAAAAAATCACTTAGAAAATATATTTTGTTGTTGATCGTCTGGGAATTATAGTGTAAAAGTGCAACGACGCCCTTAATGATCAGAAATGTGAACAAAAACCAAGCACAAAACAGCGCTAAACCTTGTTGTCATTCTGTGATGTAACACCTTGACTTAACTTCTCTCCTACAGTAAGCAGGAACCTACACAAGCAGTTACTAAACACAGGTGGTTACATCTATATTCCATTACTGGGGTTTAGATATTATCTTTAAGGAGTAATACATCTTGTATTTGTCGAGACAAAACAACCCGTTTTTTATCAGTTATTACTGCCCGTTGATTGCCGGAAACACTTTAAAAAAAGATAACGAACCGTCTTGTAGTGTACAATCTTTGACATCATTTGGTGTATTCGACGTATCCAAATATCTGTAATAATATATTCGTTCGTTGCTATTGGGTATTCGATTCGGCACTGACTGCGCACGCACAGCGCGGCGGAGGAGAACTCTGCAATAACAGTGGTGAGCTCTTGACTTGCGCGGGCGTAGCAGTGCAAATTCATTGAGGATCGCTCACAACAGCCAGCTGGAAATATTCCATCATCGCCGCCCGCCAATACCTGGACTCTTGGTGATGAAGAGCTCGAACAACTCCTGGCTTACATTTGCGAAAGAGTAAACGTAATTAACGGAAGAAACTGGCAGGGAAAAAAAAGCTTTGAAAAGTTTTGAAAACTAAGAGAAAAGACAGTTAGAGAAACACGAAGCTAACGAGATACACCTCCGGTTGAGGCAATCTTTCTTAAAAATATTAAAACGCAGTTGGATATTTTCGTGTTCTACAGTCGATATGAGACTTCCCAGAGCTTCGTGGTTTCGAATGTTCACGTTCTGTAGTGAGTATTTTGTTGTTTTTGCACACCTAATTGCTTTTTCTTGTTTTTTTTTTAATTTTAGTGCCCTTGTAGGCGCGCTGTCGGTCGTCTCAATGAAGGATCACTTGGGATGCGAGCTTCGAGGAATTACAATAGAAAAGACAAGAAGAAATTAATAATAACACCTCACTTGATGGTTTCGAATCACCAACTTCAGTGCGTATGCCAGATACTACTACTACTACTACTACTACTACTACTACTACTACTACTACTACTACTACTTGTTTTAGTAAGAGTTTTTCGGCGCTCGCAACTGCTTTAAGGTCATATGAGCGCTGGCACTACTGCTATATCTGGTATTTCTACTGTGAATGAAATGCATAAATTGATATTTCATATAATATACACCAACGCCTAGCATAAGGTACTTTAAATGTTTTGGATTTTCTTTTTTCGTTACTACATAAATTCTATTACCCATGTTTCCGAAAGTTGGAGATTTGATATCTATACCACCTGACGGTATGGCTCTCTAAATTCCTACTCATTTAGATCAAATAGATCTAGTCTTTTAAATTCAATATTTTTTTAAAACCTGGCGTTTTGGTTTACCAACTTTTTAAGTTGGAAGGAATCAGAAACGAAGAAAAGAACAACCAAATAAATGAAGAAAATTTGTATAAAGTATTATAGTAAAGACTTTGTGACAAAAGGCACTGTCAAGAATAAGTAGTCAGATTCAAAACATAACACGTCTAAAACCTTTACGGTAAGTAGGGCTTGCCTTAGCTTAATTGGGATCACAATGAGCTATTGCGCGTATAACTCTGGTTCAAATCCTCAATGGGGTATTTATATATTACTCATGCAGACAACAATAAGGATGCGTTCGTTTGGAACACAAAGCACTTTAAAAATAAAGTAAAACGATTTCTCCTGACTTTGGGAGCAACTAGAAATACATAGCTTTATTATTCGCATTGGGAAAATCTTATGGGCAAATTTGGCGGGGTGGGGGAGGGGGTGGGGGTTGCTTGGTGGAACCAAATCTCTCTGTGAAGAACTGAGATGGAAGTAAAGGCTTATAATCAATCCTATTTGTATGAGAGCGGCTTCAATGGACTTTTAACTGACTGAAGCAGAGAAAATTTCCGTCCTTGAGTAATCCATGGATGACTTCTGCGTGCTGAAGTGGCGGATTGTTGGAATGTTGGAGTCAAGAATCGAAGTGAAGAGGAATACTAATTTTTTGCTAACTTGCTAACTAGAAGAACGTCAGTGTGTCTGCTCACTTGTGTCCTGAACGGGAAAGGGTGGGTATTGGGAATGTGGAAACACATGTGATTGAGTGCAGGCTGGAGTTTGAGAACTACGGTCTCCCTTGTGGCATTTATTACTTAAAAAATGGAGAGAGACAGAGGGAGAGAGAGAAAGAGAGAGAGACAGAGAGAACGAGAGAGAGAGAGA